AGTGAGTGAGTCAGTGTGTGAGTGTGTGTGTGAGTCTGCGTGCATCCGTGCGTGTAAGTGTGTGTGTGTGAGTGTGCGAGTGCGTGTGTGAGTGTGTGTGAGTGTGTGCGTGAGTCTGCGTGCATGTGTGTGTGTGTGTGTGTGTGAGTCTGCGTGCGTGTGTGTAAGTGAGTGTGAGTGTGTGTGTGTGTGTGTGTGTGTGTGAGTGTGAGTGTGTGCGTGTGCGAGTGCGTGTGTGAGTGTGTGTGAGTGTGTGCGTGAGTCTGCGTGCATGTGTGTGTGTGTGTGTGTGTGTGTGAGTGTGAGTGTGTGCGTGTGCGAGTGCGTGTGTGAGTGTGTGTGAGTGTGTGCGTGAGTCTGCGTGCATGTGTGTGTGTGTGTGTGTGTGTGTGAGTGTGAGTGTGTGCGTGTGCGAGTGCGTGTGTGAGTGTGTGTGAGTGTGTGCGTGAGTCTGCGTGCATGTGTGTGTGTGTGTGTGTGTGTGTGAGTCTGCGTGCGTGTGTGTAAGTGAGTGTGAGTGTGTGTGTGTGTGTGTCAGTGTGTGAGTGTGAGTCTGAGTGTGCGAGTGTGAGTCTGAGTGTGCGTGTGTCAGTGAGTGTGAGTCTGAGTGTGAGTGTGCGTGTGAGTGTGTGTGTGTGCAGTCTGCGTGCATGTGGTGAGTGTGAGTCTGAGTGTGCGAGTGTGAGTCTGAGTGTGCGTGTGTCAGTGAGTGTGAGTCTGAGTGTGAGTGTGCGTGTGAGTGTGTGTGTGTGCGTGTGTGTGAGTGTGTGAGTGTGTGCGTGTGTGTGCGGGTGTGTGTGTGTGTGTGTGTGTGTGTGTGTGTGCATGAATCAGGGTTGTTGATAAAACTTGCAAATAATAGATGAAAAACTTATACAAATATTGGCTTGGCAACTAACTAAAATAAATTGAAGAACCAATACTACTAAATGGCAATAAATAAAATCTAAAACTGAAATAAAAATAAATTAACACTAAATGCAATATTAATAAAGTCAAAATTAATAAAGTCAAAAGTGTGTGTATATATATATATATATATATATATATATAAATAAAAGGTATTACAAAATTTTTATATAAACTACAATAGTATATCATGAAATCTAAAAAAAAAATGTTGTTTGTTGTTTTTTTTAGTTTTTAGTTTTGATAATGTCTATCAAAACTTATTTAACTGTCAATAAAATGTAATATATAATCTGTATACTCTATATAATGTATAATATATAATTAAAAATCAGATATTTCAGATTCTAACATCTGATTGGATGAGCCTGTACACACACACACACGTGCACACACACACACACACATCGGTTGAGTCCTATATTAACATGCTGTTCATTGATCTCTGATTGTTATGCTGCCAGGCAACCACACACATCCTTCGGTGAACTCTATACCTGTGCAGAGGAGTGTTTAATAGGATTATTGTGATTTATTCTTCATGTCGTGATTTTATTGATCATGGGCTGGGCGTCTGTTGTTGTGTTCCTTTTGCCACTGATTTATAAAGCAGTGAGTCATGTGTTACCATGATTTTACCGCAGTTAAGGTGTGTTGGGCGTGACGTGAGGCAGTAAAACCACTACTGTGTGTCCGCGAGTGATTTATTGGTTTCTGATGGGTTCTGTGTTGGTGTTTGCGCAGGGACTCCGGTGAACAGGATCCCCATCATGGCGAAGCAGGTTCTGGATCTGTACATGCTGTATAAGCTGGTGACGGAGAAGGGCGGACTGGTGGAGGTCATCAACAAGAAGATCTGGAGAGAGATCACCAAGGGTCTCAACCTGCCCACGTCCATCACCAGCGCCGCGTTCACGCTCCGCACGCATACCACATTTACCATATTATACCACATTAGATATACATGACAGAAAAAAAATGCAGTTTATTTTTTGTGACACAGACAGCAGCAGGTTTATTAGGCTGCTGTCACTTTAAGACCTAAGTCACGGATCCAAAATATTAATGCACATCTAATTTTTCCCCCCGACTGTTTATGTTCATTTAATACATAACTGACTGTGTTTATATGAATCACACATAACTCGTCAATAACTTTTAGTTGTACTGCACTTTCTGTGATTAATTTGTGGTTAAATGGTGAACTATTCTGGAGCGCCTGTGCTGTATTTAAATGCATTTTGCAGGTTTTCCTGCAGAATCAGTGCACAGAATGAGAATGGAATCCACAGGTGGTGTTGACGTGTGTCTGGTTTGTCTGTCTCAGGTATATGAAGTATCTGTATCCGTACGAATGCGAGCGGAAAGCGTTGAGTTCTCCCAGCGAGCTGCAGGCTGCCATCGACAGCAACCGGCGCGAAAGCCGTCGATCCAGTTACAGCAACAGCCTGTTCCGCTTTAGCCCCTCCCCAGGCTCCGCCCCTCACCTCCTGACCCCGCCCAAGATGCACCTGTCAGCGCTGGGGGCCATAGGGGCCCTGAATGGACTGCAGGCGTCCCCGGGGCCATCTCTGAAGAAGGGACTGAGTGAGTGATGCAAAAATAAATCTTAAATTAGCAATGCAATTAGATCAAGCAACAACAATCAGACAATTATTAAACAATATTCATGCCTACAGAACTCATATTTATTTTCACAGGGTGTTTTTATAGAGTCTGTAGGTTCAGAGATTGGACACATGCTGGTGTTTGTGCTGTTTTAGTGTTTAGTCTGGTGTTTGTGGTGTTACAGCGCCTCCTGTCGACATTGACATGAACTGCATCTTAAGACATTTACACTAGTTCAGTGGTATTGAATGAATGCGTTGTCCCTCATAAGACTTCTCTTTTTTTATATTTTTCTCACACACACGCGCTCACTCGCACACACACACACACACACACACGCTCGCTCACTCACACTCACACACACGCACATACACTCACACGCACACACACTCACAAACACGCACATACACTCACACGCACACACACTCACACACACGCACATACACTCACACCCACACACACACACTCACACCCACACACACACACTCACACCCACACACACACACACACCCACACTCACACACACGCACATACACTCTCACACACACACACTCACACACACGCACATACACTCACACCCACACACACACACTCACCCACACTCACACACACGCACATACACTCACACGCACACACACTCACACACACGCACATACACTCACACACACACACACACACACACACACTCACTCACTCACACACACACACACACCCACACTCACACACACGCACACACACACACACACACACACACTCACTCACTCACACACACACACACACCCACACTCACACACACGCACACTCTCACACACACACACACACACTCACACACACACTCACACCCACACCCACACTCACACACACACCCACACACTCACACACACACACACACACACATTAACTGGAAGTTTCATGTGGTAATTAGTCAGTTTCTCCACTTGCTGATTATGACAGATTTTCATCCAAATGAGCCACATGATGTGCAAAAGGCCATTTTGAAAGAATAACTTCTGTTTTTTTCTGTTCTTATTATGAATTTCTCTCACACACAGTCATTTTCCACCCTGTGTTTTTAGATGATGATAACTGACTGTGTAGAAAATCACAACCTTGACTGGTTTATTGCTATTTTTTAAACAGCATCAATATGATTAAAAAACAGGGTAATCATTAATTACAACTAAAACTAAAAACACAATAAAAAAACAAAACATTTCTGTTACTTGAAGTAAAATAAACATTAACTGAAATAAAGTTTAAAAAACATAAACTTATTTTATTCCAGCTAATTGCCATGGCAGCATAAAACTAAATAAACAAAATCTAATAAATAAAAATTTATTAAAACTACAGTATATAAACATTTTAAAAATAAATAAATAATAATAAAAACAGATTTTTTTTTTTAAAAAGTAAAAAAAAAAAATTTAAAAAGCACAATAAAATTCTAAAACCAAAAATAAATAAAATTAAGTTAATAATAATAAGAAGAACTATTATTATTTTTAGTTGTTGTTTTTCTTAAAACCAGGGCTATTTTAGAACTTTCTGAGTTTTTATTAATATTTTGAATTAAATTTCATTTTTGCATTTTCTATTTTTAATTTATTTTTAGTGAATGCTTCAGTAATTTAGAATTTTTTTTTATTTTTTTATATGTCTATATTGTATTTATCAGATTTTATTCCGGTTTGAGTTGTTTCAGTACATAAAGTGAAACTAAATGAAAAATGTTGCTTTGGCAAGTAGCTGAAATAAATATAAACATTAAAAAAAGTAATAAAAACGGGAACAAAATGGCTAAATCTTGAACTAAAATGAAAGTGAAAATAAAATAACATTTAAAATACGAACAAAAACAGTAATATGTAATAGTATGTCAATGATACTAAAATAACACTGCTAGGAACATGTTATGTTTTAAATATCCATGTTTATTGCATTAATATCCATTTATACCAAGTTGCATTGATGGAGAATCTTATTATCATGCACAGGTGATATGTATAATATACATTTTAAGCAATTTTATTTTTAATTTTTTAGGGATAGTGTACATTTTCATAATATGCATTGCTAAGAACTTCATTTGGACAGCTTTAAGGTGAAAATAAAATAACATTTAAAATACGAACAAAAACAGTAATATGTAATAGTATGTCAATGATACTAAAATAACACTGCTAGGAACATGTTATGTTTTAAATATCCATGTTTATTGCATTAATATCCATTTATACCAAGTTGCATTGATGGAGAATCTTATTATCATGCACAGGTGATATGTATAATATACATTTTAAGCAATTTTATTTTTTATTTTTTTAGGGATAGTGTACATTTTCATAATATGCATTGCTAAGAACTTCATTTGGACAGCTTTAAAGATGATTTTCTCAATATTTAGATTTTTTTGCACTCTCAGATTCCAGATTTTCAAATAGTTGTATCTCGGCCAAATATTGTCCTATCCTAACAAACCATACATCAATGGAAAGCTTATTTATTCAGCTTCCAGAGTGGACCCTTGTGGCTGGTTTTGTGGTCCAGGGTCACATATAGATTGGTTCTCCTCTGTCCTGCAGATGATGGCCGCTCGTCCTGCGTGGCGCTGGCGTTTGGGCAGCAGCAGGCGGCGGGTTTCAGATTCCAGATTTTCAAATAGTTGTATCTCGGCCAAATATTGTCCTATCCTAACAAACCATACATCAATGAAAAGCTTATTTATTCAGCTTCCAGAGTGGACCCTTGTGGCTGGTTTTGTGGTCCAGGGTCACATATAGATTGGTTCTCCTCTGTCCTGCAGATGATGGCCGCTCGTCCTGCGTGGCGCTGGCGTTTGGGCAGCAGCAGGCGGCGGGTTTGGCGCGGGCCGCGACACTGGAGCAGCTCCGAGAGAAGCTGGAGACGGAGGCACCGGAGAGGAAGATGGCGCGTCTGGCCGAGGAGCAGCAGAGACTCATGCAGCAGGTCTTCCAGCACAACCTGCTCGCCATGGCCTCGCAGATCCCAGTCAACCTGCGGCCCAGAACTTCGGCCCGGGGTCAGTGCGCCCGATGTTTGTGTGTGTGTGTGTGTGTGTGTGTGTGTGTGTGTGTGTGAGTGTATGTGTGTGTGTGTGTGTGAGAGAGAATATGTGTGTGTGAGTGAGTGAGTGTGTGTGTCTGTGTGTCTGTGTGTGTGTTAATGAGTGTTTGTGTCTGTAGATGAGAAGCAGGATCTGGCCGTGAGCATTTCCTCCAGTGGAGCGGCGAGTATCAGCGTGTCAGTGGAAGTCAATGGCATCGTTTACTCAGGTATGGCTTACAGACAAATGCATTGCTTATTTTTATTATTATTATCAATTTTATTGGGTTCTTATAATGTGCTAGTTAGCAAGTTCCACGGCTAAAGTAAACAGTCTCATGAGAACAGCTCTTCACCCCACTAGTGTTGGGTCGTTCTTGAACGATTCGTTCATTTTGAACGAATCTTTAATGTGACTCTGGAAGAACGAGTCGTCTCGGGGAGTGATTCGTTCAGTCGCGCATGCGCAGCATCCTATAGGTTCTGTACTGGAGTTAATCAAGTAGTTCATCTCTCGAGTCTTCGGGTTTTCCGAGTCGTTCGTTCATCACGTGACAGCCCCATAAGCTTAACCAATGCCGTCTGAGCCGGAAAGAGAATTGATTACTCATCATAGACTGAAGACTCAGGTAAACAATGAATTAATCTTTTCTGTTTCTTATAGCAGTTTTGTATTGTTTGTAGTGTGATCGACGTTTGCGTACGTAGTAGATGTGTTAGTGAAGTAACACGTAACAATTTAATTATATTTTGCTAAAATGAACGAAATGACTCAAAAAAAGCTTTGTTCATTTTGCTGAACGAGACTCAAAGGTCCAAGTCGGTAAAATGATCCGAACTTCCCATCACTACACCCCACGGAAGAGAGGGGCGGGGTCAGCAGAGCTCATTAACATTTAAAGAGATATGCACTAAAATGGGTTGCTGTGTGCAGAGCTGTTTTTGACAGGGTAAAAAGGATGCTGTTTTACACTACCATTAGTATTTTTTAACCAAAATATGTTGTAGACTTTTCATTAAGACCCTAAAGAATCTTATCAACTTGTAGAAAATGGGCATCCGATGATGACCCCTTTAAAACAATTACATATCATTGAGTCATCTTCCATTCGCCGAATAACTGTTTTAAAATTATCCAAAGACAGCAAATTTTGTAATTTCAATTATTTTATTTTATGTTATTTTAGTATAATTGAGTAGGGATGTAACCGTACACGTAATTTTCAGTACGGGTCTTTTGGTTTCGGTACACATGTGTACTGAACACATACAGCATTGTTTTAACCACTGCACAAGTGGAAATTCATCGGAAACTTCCAGTTTTATATATTGTTACTTTTGATAAGAAACAAATCTCAAACGGCAGCACATTTTCAGCACAAGAACACATTTTGGTTTTAGGTTTTAGGACAACGTTGATGAAAGGCTTTGATCCACTTCAAATGTCGACTAGTGTATTTACTACTAATTTAAACGTGAAATAAACATGAATGAACATCTCCTGCCTCTTCTAATCACGCAATCAGTGTTTCAACCGAGGAAATGAGTCAATAAAACAGCTTATAAACAAAATGTCACGCAGCATTTTATTTTATATTTTATATGTCCAGAGAAATGCATTTCGTAAAATATTATACTATATAGCTACTCGTTATATTTTACTTTACCTGTTAGCGATGTCTTAATTATTGAATGTATGCTTAAATAAATCTGTTATGAAACAAGTTATGACAGCCACTGTATAAATGAATATATTTCAACAACAAATAGACATTTTATAATTTAGAAGTTATTTAAAAACTCCATTATGTACAATTTACATGTTTGCATAAAATTTATTTTTAAGTTGAGTGTTGATTATTATATTTAAAACAAATTATGCTTTTAGTTTTAGTTGTAATTATTGATTAAAAAAAAAACAGTTTTTTAACCATATTGCTTTTTTTTTTTTAAATACACTTTTTTATATATTTAATTTTATTTAAATGAATATATTTCAACAACAAATAGAAATTTTATAATTTAGAAGTTATTTAAAAACTCCATTATGTACAATTTACATGTTTGCATAAAATTTCTTTTTAAGTTGAGTGTTGATTATTATATTTAAAACAAATTATGCTTTTAGTTTTAGTTGTAATTATTGATTAAAAAAAACAGTTTTTTAACCATATTGCTTTTTTTTTTTTAAATACACTTTTTTATATATTTAATTTTATGTTGGTAACATTTCCGTAACATTTATTATTGCTTTTTTATAGTTGTAGTTTTAGTTTCAGCAAATGTCCAGCAAAAAGGTTCAAATAAAACACTTAATATAAAAAAGAAAAATTATATTTTAAGAGTTCAGATGCAAAAGCCTCTAAATGCCATCTGAAATTTTCTTCTAAAATGAGTATTTTTATCAGGCTCCAATATTTATGTTCAGTTATTTCACTTTAGTTGCATAGAAAAGCACTGATACTGTACATTGCCATTAGAGTAACATCTGTTTTCACATCATCTGACAATTAACAATCATCAGAGAACTGTGCAAGTGTGTAGTTAAATTACTGAAATATTGCTCTAAAACCTCAGAATGTCTTCAAAAAATATTTGATGTCTAAAGGGTTCGGCTGATGAAAGGTTTGGGAATCCCTGGCACAGAGTGTTATTTGTAGGTATGTTTTAATCAGCACTGATCTCGTTTTTAAATGTTTTCTATGGCAGGAACTCTGTTTGCGCAGAAGTCTGCGTCTGCTGCACCTGGACCCAGCTTCACCTTCTCTAGCCCCGCCCCCAGCCAAAGCCCCGCCTCTTCCTCCTCCTCCAAGGGGCGGAGCTCCGCGCAGCCATCCACCAGCGGCTCTCCGTAACCCGATTACTGAAAATCAAACTGTTGCACAACCAGTACCTCAGTTTCTCCTGTCCGCACGTTTGCAAACATTTACATGGACACACATGCATAAAATAACACGGCTGGGCCTCATTCACGAATCACGAGTTAATCGTTCATATACAGTCTTATGCAAAAATCACAATCAATTCAATGCAACAGACTGGATTGATGAACGATCCACATAGAAATTCATGCATTCGACGTCCGAAAACGCTAAATACAATCAGAACGTTCAGCCGAACGACGGGCAGGTTTCACAGAACTTGGAGATTTTTTATTTAGAGTGTGTTTCGATCTGTCTTCTGATTATGTTTCGTGACTTTATGATCTTTTTCACTCAAGGTTCCTAATTTTACCTCAGCGGTGGAACGTCTCTTACCTCAGGATCTGTAGTTTAGGTTTTCTCTGAATGAGTTTTATTTTTTTGTAGAATTGGCTTGAATTGGTGGGGATCAGAAACGCTGTGATTCTCCTCTATGCGTCGCCCGTCTGGACCCGAGCGTGTGATCGTTAATCTAATATCTGAATATCTGCTGTTCTGCGGCGTGTTTGTTTGATGATTTCAGAGCCTGTCTGTCTTCAGGAGCAACCGTCAGATACCTCAGAAACCAGCTGAATGTCTCAGTAGTTGTTTAAACGAGCAAGCGGCCTTCTAAGAGATCTGCAAAAACCAATCATTTCATCTGGATCTCAGGGCAGGTTTTATAAATGTGGGTGAATCTCGTGAAAATCTAAAGAAACATAATATGCACATTTTCATGTTTCTTTTATATGCATATATATGTATATGCACATATTTACATACATATTTTACATTTTAATAAGTGAATCTCATGATCTCATCAAATTTATAAGAAATTTAGCATTATTTCATAAGTTTGGGATCAGTAAGATTTTAAGGTTTCTCTCGTGCAAATCAAGGCTATTTATTCGATCAAAGATACAGAAAGAAAACCGTAATATTGTGAAATATTATTGCAATTTCTAATATTGGTTTCCTATTTTAATATACTTTAAAATATAATTTATTTCTGTGACGCAGCGTTGAAGTTTCAATTCTTTGATGAGTAAAAAGTTAAAAAAAGAACAGCATTTATTCAAAATAGAAATCTTTTCTAACAATATAAGTCTTTACTATCACTTTTTATACATTTAATAAACACAAAAATTATATTTTGAATAAACACTGATCTTTTTAACGTTTTATTTATCAAAGAGTCCTGAAAATCACAGAAGGAGTATCTTATGTCCCAAAAATATATTAAGCAGCACAATTGTTTCCAACATTGATAATAAATCAGTATATTAGAGTGATTTCTGAAGATCATGTGACAGTTATGATGTTGAAAATTCAACTTTGATCACAGCAATAAATTATATATTAAAGTATATTAAAATAGAAAACTGTTATTTTAAATATTATTTCACAAAATTACATTTTTGTCTGTATTTTTGATTAAGTAGATGCAGCCTTGATGAGCAGAAGAGACTTCTTTAAAACACATTACAAGTCTTACTGATCCCACACTTTTGACCGGAAGTGTATATACATTTATATGCGTATAATAGTCACAGCGTAAAACATCTTAATAATATTCCAAAAACAGGCATAATTTTGCTAATGCAAAATATCGTTTCTGTTGATATTGGATCAAAACGTCGTGTTTTTTTAGAGGTTTTGTGAGATTCGCTCATGAACGGTGTGATGAAGTTCTCAGCGTAACCCTGCAATCATTCCTCAAGCACAGCAGCAGCTCCGCGCGACCATCGTCCTCTCATCCACACTGACGCTTGATGTTTTTGTCTCGCATTTTTGCTTTCCGTAGCAGGAAGGCGTCTGTCTCAGGAAGTACTGTGATGTTTTGAAGTGAACTCTCGTTGTTTTTAAGATGATATAAATGCGTAATCGGTGGTGAAGTACCTCAGACTCTGCTGTGGAGATTTACACTACATACCTCATGCTGCCGTGAATCCCTCGAGCTGGACTTTCCTTTCTCTTTGTGTCGAAACCAAACGTGAACTGTTGCATTCGTACAATCAGGTGGCCAAGCCTGCTCACTGTAACCAAACCAAACTGCCTTCTACAGCTGCTGCACAGCTAGAAACCAAAGACCGGATGGCCTCACAGGTCAAAGGTCACCGTGACGGGTCTGTATGATGGTGACGTAATGGGTCAGGTGACCAGGGAAACACGCTTATCTGGCCATATTGATGTGCTTTCTGTCTATTCTCAGGACTTTGATTCGTTTCTGTTCTAGCTCTGATCCTTCATGTTTGCTGCAGCTCTTCTGTTTGAACTGGATTAAAAACCTTGTGCAGATTCTTTTGTGCCAGTTGCATATTTGTCTGCTTTTGTGTCTAATGCTTTAAAATGCTACAGGTTTTAGAGCCATAAATGGTTTCCATTCAGAAACAACGTCACACTTTCCCACTGATGTCACGGAGTAATAAAATCAAAAAGATAATTGCGACTTTTTATCACACAATTATGACTTTTTTCAGGCAATTCTGAGTTTATATCTCATGCATTTGACTTTTTTCGCTTGCAAACTGAGAAAAATGTTGAGAAATAAACTCGCAATTAACTTTTTTTTATTCAGTGGCAGAAAAAAAAAACAAGTTCCGGCAAAAAAAAGTCAGATTTGCAAGATGAGAACTTGCAATTACATGCATTCGTTCATTCTGTGGCGGAATAAGCTTCCATATAGATCAATGGTCCACAGGCTTTTAACATTTGATTTCTTCAGTCCAAAGAGTGAAAAATTTAAGGGGGTCTGAATACTTTCCGTACCCACTGTATATACGGTGAGTGTTGGGGTTAAAGAAGAAGCTGTGTGTGTTTGGCAGGAATAATGTTTCAGAGTAAAAGAACCTACAGTCAAAGTGATGCCCGTATTCATTTAGCTTAACCTTTCAAGACTTAAAAAGTATTACAATCACGTTGATTAAAAACAATGCCCCTGCAAATATCCAGCTTTTTCTTCAACGCGCAAGCAAGCCTGTGGGCGAGACTTCCGGTTCATTAGCCGCTATAAATATCAAGGAGAATAACAACGTGCAGTAAACGGTACAACTGTTTGCACTACAAACCAGTGTGTTCATAATTAAGATAATACATTAAAATAATATGATAAGACACCAATTTTCAATATCAAGCAGCTAAACGAACTGTTTTGTACAGCTAGAAATAGCTGGAGGCGGATTTAGACCGGAAGCTAGACCCATAGAATTTACAAAAGGGGTTAGGAGATCTTGCCATGCTTTTTAAAGCAAAGTCACATATTAAAGTAAGTAGAATAGGCTAATTAAATTTGTCTGTATTTTAACGGCATACAAAATACGTTTCGTTAGTGATAGAAATATGATTTAAAGGAGGCATATCATGCCCCTTTTTACAATATGTAATATAAGTCTCAGGTGTCCGCAGAATGTGTCTGTGAAGTTTCAGCTCAAAATACCCCACAGATCATTTATTATATCATTTTGAAAATGCCTATTTTGAGTGGAAGCAGAAACACGCTGTTTTTCGTGTCTGTCTCTTTAAATGCAAATGAGCTGCTGCTCCCCGCCCCCTTTTCCAGAATAGAGCTCGTACCTGTTAAAAACATCTGTTTTGGTTCTGATTATCATGTTTATCCACTGAAATCATGCGTTTTAAACCATATGAGTTTAACCCTTTAACTGTCACTCTTGTCATAAATTAATCTATTACTTTTCCTACATAATTTTTTACAAAACCGTTGGTAAAATATCTATTTAGGCGTCTTAGACCTTTCCAACGATACATAGTTTGTCATGAATATATTAGGATTTAATTGTAATATAGTGAATTAAACCTAGGCGTCGCACAGAGGGGGACGGGTGACAGTTAAAGGGTTAAACTTTTATTTAAATAAAATAATAATATTATTTGCAACAACTGATGGATTACAGCATGCATGCACAGCTTTGTCAAGGTAACATTTGATCAGTCATTCCCTTCCGAGGGAGTTAAACGCATTTACATTTAGTCATTTAGCACAATATTTTATCCAAAGCGTCTTACAAATGAAGACAATTATACGAGACAGTGCCTACACCCTACAAAGAACACACTTCAAGGGTTCTGCCCTTCGAAGGGAGTATAGCACAGGGATGCTCACTTCCGGTTTAGAATTCGCCATTGGTTCGTTCGTTTAGCTGCTTACGTCACCTGACGACGGTTAGCAATGATGAACACATGAAACATGCTACCAGAAATATTTGCATTGTTTTAAGGGTAGGTTTAGGGTAAGGTTAGGTATGGACATTTAAAAAAGCCTCAAACTACATGAATAAGATGCATCTGAGGTAGAATTTTTCGCTATCGATTTGTGCTAGCTAACGCTTTTTAACGGGAGTTAGCACAAATCGTCAGAACACCGGCAGGCGTCGAGGCTGTTTGAAAGAGTTTGACGCCACAGAATGAGCTTCAAATAGGTAGGACTATAGCTTATTTTCATAAAGGGGTGGGTATGTTTTCAGAATTAGTAGAATGACCAAAATATATGATTTTGAAGAAGTGTTTTTTCCGTGTAGAATACTGCAAACAGTCAAGTTTGAGACCGTGTGTGGTAAAAAGATCAATCGTTTTTAATCGATTTTTTATTTTATTCGTTAGATAAATGCGACTGCTATTTAAATGACTTAAATGTAAATCATGTGTGATAATAAATTAGCCTATCGCTGCCATTTTCGTCATTGTTGGTTTCGCGCGCCAACAAAAAAACATTAATTGCACGCTAAAATAACAGTCCTCAGAAATTAAAAGAGAACAACGGTTCGAATATTCGCATTTTACTGAATAAAACAAGCAATCAGTCTTTTTGTTTGTAATTTACGTTTCATAACATGATGAATGTTGGGCCTAGTTATGCTTGCAAGAATCTTTTTATTTATTATATTTCTGTTTCAGTTTTAGTTATTGTCAGCTAGACTTCCTCACGCTTTTCTCTCTGTTTCCTGAGATGAATTCTGTGGTTTTTCATATGGAAACTCTTGTGAATCTTTCAGGTCAAGTCACTCCTGGTTCACCTCGAGGTGGCGCTCATGCGCACAGAGTCAGATTGACACGTGCTGTTAGATCTTTAAATCTGGGGCAAGTTCAAGCTCAAACCGGTGTGCACCATTGTGCAACGGTTTCCGGTTTGAACGACATGTTTCCTGGAAACGGTGTGCAATGGGGTTTGATATGCGTTTTCTCTTGTTTGGTGGGTGTGTCAAACATGTCAGCCCAATCAGCAGCAACATGTGTGCGGTATTAAAGACACAGCTCGCACAATGTAATTAACATCCAAATAAATTCACAAGAGCAAGTATATTGTTTGCACATGTTTATTTACATTAAAGGCAAAATAACTGAAATAATAAGAGCATAAGTATAGATCTGGAACTTCTTTAAGTCTGTCTAAATATCATTTAGTAGTTGCAATGTCTTCTGGTCCATCTCCTTTCCTTAGGAAGGTGTGCTAGACACTGATTAATGTAACATAAAAATACTATACATATTTATATATTTTGCTATTGCATTGTGGAGTGACACTTTCATAAACTTTTCTATACTCCTCTGATTATATTATGGTAAATATTACAATATCATAGCACAACAACAGTGATCAGCAATAATGATAAGCCGAATGCTCACAATAAAATAAACAAGGTCCAATAGATCCTAACA